AGATAGATAGATAGATAAGATTAGATTAGATTAGATTAGGTTAGGTTAGATTAGATTAGATTACATAGGATAGAGAGAGAGAGAGAGAGATCTGCGTTGGGGGACCAATTGTTGCTTAACCTGTCCTTGTAAACCGGGGGACCCTGACTGCCCGTTCTTTCCTGTATAGCTGAGCCTCTATGGGCGAACTCCATAGGGGATACGAACAAATCCCGTGAACCGCGGGTGCGCGTTCGCGCGCGGAGGGGACAGCTGGACCGCTGTTTCCTCCTGCCCCTGGAGAGAGAGAGAGAGATATATATATATATATACATACCTACATCCCGTCCTGCGGTCCCTCAGAAGCCTCGGTCTGCTTAGCGCCTGCGCAGGCGAGACATTGATGCTGGAAACCGTCATCTGGTGCATCGCTTGAAGGATCCTGGCCTTCGTGCTCTTTGTTCAATTTGACGTGAATGCAATCATGATTCGCCTTCCCATGCTGCCAGGAGATCGTGCAGAAGCCCAGCGTGATGTCAAAGGTGTCAGACGGGGCGACCCGTCATTCCGGAACTCGCCGCGAGATGCTACAGCGCGATCGGCAACTACGTCAGAAAAATATCGAAGCCGAGAACCACTCTTTGGTGCGACGGCTTCTCGCTGTTAAAAGCAGCCTGGATTCGCAAAGCTTCGAGAAAGACTACCGCAGGCTCGCTCCGGCTTTGAGGTTGGGCTGGGCCGGGCCATGCCGGGCCTCATTGGGACCTGGTGTTAAGCAATGCTGTAGACTCGGGACTCAACTCTGACCACTTAGGGCTCAGCAATAGGAAGACGGTGGAGTTGTGGCACCTTCAGTCTGCACGTGAATTCAGAGACCATGTGATAGCATGTGCGCGGACTCGAAATACGAGGGCCTCGGGAACTGCATTGGTCTGCACTGCATGTTCAGGCACCGGCAGGATGTCGGCCGGCTCCAGCAGCTTCCGGAGAAGAATTCCAAGCCGAGGAAATTGCCGAAGCTGCCGGAGAAGGTGCCTTGGAGCAGTTGCGATCTCGAATGTCGTCAGCCGATGGGTGGGCCATCGAACCCCGCATCTCGAAGTGCTGGCCGCTAGAGCCTAGCTTAATCTTCAATAATTAGTCTTCACTTGTGCTGCTGTTCAGGTGCTTCCGGAGCTGCCTAAGGAAGAGTACTCGCCGAAGAGTTCTTGCACTGGATACAGGCCAGCGACACGGATTGAATGATTACTTAAGAAACTGGTAGGTGCAGGCGGGGAGACCTCTTTGGGGTCGCTCAACATGTTGATACCGAAAGAGAAATATCCGCGTCAGCAACGCCATATGCTTGATGGATCGGTACAGAAAGCCGGAAGGCTTCGCCTCCTGACTCGGTCATGTCTCAAGATCCAATGTCGTCACATGTTCGAAGGCCTGATCTTGAGCTTCTCACCCTGGGCCTTGGGCCTTGGCTTTGCTGCTGGATCAATTTGACAGGCCCGCGCGCCAAGCGCTGCCGCTGCCTCCGCGACCTGGGTTGAATAATAAAGTCGTGCTGCTGCGAAACTGCCGGTGGATAGACTCAAGCTGAACTCAATGGTCATGGTTCCGACGCCAGGAGAGGCCGAATAGCATTTACAGGGCGTCGCTCATGTCACGTTGGGGTTACGTGCGCTTGGGTTGTGTACGAAGTACACCTTGTGAGTCATGTAAACTCACTGCCAGAATGTCTCGAGCATTTCGCATATGATAAGTCACTGATAAGTCCACACTGTGGTGCTGAAGGTGCGGTTACATGCAGGGAAGACCAATGTTGTGCAAATGCTTACATGCTCAGCAATGGTTTTGGTTTATGACTTCCATTTTCGAGTCCACACTTTGACAGCTTAATTGCACATGCGACTTCGTGTTCATCTGTTCGAGACAGGCTTCAGGCAGGAGGCATCAAGTCGACGCTTGTTTCAAGCGGGCCGGCCTCAGACCGTGAACAAACACAGTGTCAAGCTCTATGCAACGCAAGCCCTCTTGCAAAGCCCACTGTTCGCATACAGTCGACATACGTCCCATAAAGATGATAATGTGGATCCGGTCATGTTGAACTCCGGATGCTTGCCACCTTAAGAATGGCCCTCCGCCGGCGTCGTTATCGTCAGCCTGGGGTGTCCGAGTGGTTAAAGTGAACCTGGCCAGTAATGTCGTGCAGAACTAAGGCGCATGTCCGAAAGCCGATCTATGCCGAGTCTCTCCACCGAGGTGCTAGGGTCTCGAGTTCAGCGAGGGGAGACATGGAGCACAGAAGCTCGAACTTTAAGGAAAGACCTTTAAAGTGGTCTGGCGAGGCCCCTCCGGCAGAAGTTGCGCAGAGAAGAGCCAAGCCCGAAAAGCCTCAGGCGGGGGACATGCCAAGCATTCCTGAGACATGTCACCACAGTGACATCAACAGCTGCTGTGAGAAGGAGTCAGAGTCAGAGCCCCCGCGGCTTGCAGAGAGCAAGAATCCGCGGGCACAACTGGAGGCAGGTCGAATGACGTCGGATGGCAACGAGCTGCTGATATATGCTGATAATTGTACGTAAGCATGACCATCATCACCATGCATATTTATGAGCGCACCAGCAAAGTTTGACCAGTAGTAGACTTCGCTTACAGTAGACATCGCAATAGTAGTTGGTACGAGTGACGCAGACTTACCAGATATTGGCATGCTTCGGGCTACAGTCTCGAAGAGCTGACGGCAAGGGTAATCCAACAAAGTTCTGAGAATATTTCCAGAAGCCGCAGTCTGTTGATGAGCTAGTGAGATGAGCCAAATTAACCGCTGAAAGGAGAACGATCAGGACCTTGGACAACAAGTCGAAGCCTACCACAAAAGCCGACAACGCGGAGACTTTATAGCATGCAATATGGAGGAGTAATGAATTTAAAGCTTTGAACTTGTGGTGCGTGTCAGCGAAACCGCTGCGGCCCGGAACCGGAAATCTGTTCGCGAGGTAGGAGTGCTCAGAAAACCACGTACTCGTATCAGCAGCTATGTTAGCAGTAGCTTGGTGTTGACCGTCGCAGAAGCAGCGGCGCGTAAGGGGAGAAGCCGTCGCACTGACATCGACCGTGCGTGCTACTGGATCCTGCAATGCTACGATGACGCCTTGGACTTGCCGGTCCTAGACTCGTCCTAGACCATAAACTCGAGCGAGACTCGAGACCTTCACCAAAGCCTATGAGAGTCGAAAGCTCGAGGAGAAGACTGCACCTGTCGCAGCAGCTGAGCCGAGTGAGGCAAGGCATGGCAAGGCCAGATCCATTTTTCACGAAGCGTCCCCCTTGGTTTGGTTCGGCTAGGGCTCGACCTCTCCCCCCCCATCCACCGACTCGGGGAGATCGGGCTTGATAAAGGCGTGAGATGACGCGCACTGCGGAGCCCCGTTGCTGCCTTTTGCTCGGCTGGGTCGGTGCAGGGTCCTGTTTCGACGTCGGAGGGGAAACACATTTTCCTACGATTCCAGGCAGCTTTTTGAACCACTTGGGGAAGTGGGACAAGATAGGAAGCCACTCTGTACATCCCTGAGCCCCAATCCCTACTGAGCTCGCTAGGTGGGAGGCAAATAATCCCTACTGAGGGCGTGTGGTAGCTGCGACCTACCATCCACATCCAAATCCATCAAACCCGGAACGGCAGGTTCGGCACAATCTGAGTGCCAGAGTCTTATTGCATTGGTAGCCAGGCGTCTCTAAATTCTGAGCCGTTAACCTTCAACATCTGACGAGTCTCCAGATTCCTCCGTCAAAACGCCATTCTACAATTCCCACGTCCTGGTCTTGAGGCAGAGGTGAAAGCAGAGTCGTGCCAGGCCTTTGCTTGCGAGCAGGCGGGGGAGGATGTTTTGCAATTGTACATCCGTCATGCGAGGCAAATTGTAACTCGACCGTGGGGTTCCGCATACTGCGTTGCAGAATATTTGTTGAAGAAGGTTTGCATGGAGATGTGGCGGGCTTACGCTGTGCGATCTTGTGATCGAGGACGCTGCAGCGGCAGACGCTGTCGGGGAGGAAGTGGCTGCAGATTCGCAACCAAGCGCACCGCCGGGGGAGGTTGGAATGCTTTACCTATAATAACTGTGACTGTGACCTGCTTACTGTTGGTGGGCAGCGCAGCAGATAGCAGCAGGCCCACTTCGAATTGACAAGATCGCGAGACATAAGCTGGGATGAGACACAACCTGCGCTGTAGCGACCATTCACTTTTCTTAGTTTTCTCTAGATACCCCAGGCAAACCTTGAGCCAGCATGCAATGGCACGCAGCATTGTCGCTTTGCCCCTCCCGGGCTAGAGAATCCAGCAGTGCCCGAGTCAGGAAGCAAGAAACATGGAATTTCATCATGGAATGCCCGAAAAAGTGAGGCTTTCGACTGGAATTGTAGGGTTGCTGGCAGGGCGATGCAGTGCTTGGCCCTGGAGAGAATCAGCATGAGCTAGCCCAAGCCGCGGATGATCTGGTCAGCCAATTAACGGCGGATGCCCTGGCCTCGCTGGAGTTCAGCGACGCCAAATCATTTCTGTCCGATACCATGCGCAGCTGGAGCACCATGCATATCTCAAGTGACATCGAGGCATTTTGCGACTGACGGCGATGTCTGTCGCAGCTCGCAGCAGAAGAGCCCAAAGTTTACGGAAGTGGCGCTGACAACTTGCAGTTGAATGTGCAAGAGCAGACGCCTCGTGTTATTCTTTGAGAATTTTTTGAAGTGAGCATCTGAATCTGCATCGGGCCCGATGAGGAAGGCACCCGCGCCTCCGTCAGAGAGCGGGGCGCAGAAGACCCTGAAAGGCCCGCATGTTCTCGTCCACTGTTGGCAGATATCGGTTCACAGTAGTTGCTGCATGATTGCGGGTGGCTAGACGAGAACTTGGCGCAGCATGGCGAGCCAACGCCATTTAGCATCCCGACTGTGTCGTGGCAGTGTCCTAGACATGTAGCACAGACCAGCTGTAGCAGTTTCACACAAGAATTCGCGGTGTTTGCTGTGTCTATGACAATGGCAAATTGGTAAATGCCACAAAGCAACCGGTGCTGAAATGAAACTTCACCGGTGTGCACCGGGTCGACTTCAACTCCGGAAGCATACTTTACAAGTTCTCTAAGCTGATCGCCGCTTCACGCGTTCCGAAGCTGCTGCAGATCGTGAGAGGAAGTAGCACAGATGCTGAAGTTAGTCTGCCAGGGGTTGTTAGCGCCGCTCCGAAATCCTAGCAAGGAGGCATTGAGGCTGCCCTGTCTTTGGTCACGATCCGACAAAGCCAAGCAATCGACAAACTGCCGAACAAGGCCGAGATAAAGGGCTGCCGCCATGCCGGGGCAGCCCGGAACAGTGCCGGGTATTCCGGTGCCACAAACCGCTGTTCCACCGGTCCGGCCGCTGCCTTCACCCTCGAAGGAAGAGCAGCCGCAAAGCATCTTCGGAGAATTTTTAGGCCCTCCTCCGTGCGTCGGCCTAGGCTAAATTCAACTGCATGGTGCTTGCACGCGAAATCAACCGAACATACCGCATCTCAGGTGAGGTCGTGGCAAGCACGTCCTACCCGAACGAGGCTGCGGACTATTTTGGTGAGCTCTTCGCACATCGCCTTCGATGGGCGCATGCTGTCAACAGCCAGCGAATGCTCAGCACGGCCTTAGTTTCCAATTCTCACTTCCTGGAGGCGGACGTTTCTGCAGGACCACTCGTAGAACAGAAGCCGGACTTGGCTAAAGGTGCAGGTGGTTCGGGTGGCTCGCGGGTCGCTGTCACGGAGACGTCCGTGATGACTTCTGCAGGTTTGCCGGTCATCATGGCCCACTATCCCACACAGCGCTCGAGTGACCTCTGTTTTGAGCTCTTTATCGGGGCGGTGTTGAAGCACAATGCCCAGATAGATGGGGAGGAGGACGAGCCCGCCGAGGCCAGCACCGAAATCCCAGAAGACCCCTCGCAAGAGGATGCCGAGGACCAGGGCCCAGTGCGACGCCCTCAGCGGTCGCCATTTTCGGCGCCTGTCCTGCACGATCATTTGCTCGAGGACGCCCCCGAAAGGAGCTCGAGCACCACGGCCCTGGAGGCTTCCAGCTTAGTGCGACACGGCACATCTGCAGGGCAGGAGGCCGCAGCTTTTGCCGTCGACTTACATCGGGAACTTGAGACTCTGGACCACAACCAGATGATGATGGCCTGTATCGGGGCCCGAAGAGGTGGGAGTCGCCTGGTGCGGCACACCTCCAAGAAAGGGGTGAAGCTAGACTTCAAAGTCTTTGAGTGCGTGGAGCCAGCACTCAGACATCTGCAGAGCATTGATGCTGCCAAAAAGCTGGGCGGCCACTTGTGGCTGAATGCTGATGTCTTTGCGGGGCCCGGGTATCCGGAGCGATTTCTCTCACCAATCGATGCCAGGACGGCGCCTGTGACTGTCTAATTAGTCGGGGCACGCCGACTCTCATTTCTAGTTTCGAGACGCCCAAGTCTAAGTATTCGTCCCGGCACAGCAGCCGCCCTGCAGGAGATTTGTGCAACTTTGCGCAGAACTCGTCCCCGACGCGGTCCTCTCGCTGATGCTCGTCGCAAGCAATCCATGGTGTTGGCATGTGCGTGTCTGTGCGCGCGGGGATTCCGGAGAGTGTGTGTGGGTGTCGGGTGTGTTGCTGAGTGGGAGTGGATGGTGGGTGCAGTGCCTTTGATACCTGATACCTCATTCCTCAGCAGCTGGGCTGGGACGGTATTCGGAGAGGAAGTGCTGCACCGGCAACAAGTTTCAGCCGAGGAGCTGGGGGAGCTCCATCTTGTCGGCCAGCAGGCCAGCTTTCTGAATGTGGCTGAGAATATCGAAAATTCAGTGCAATTGAGTTGCACAGACATAAATGACAGTTTCAGATGCTGCAGCGAGCTTTTGAGACCAAAGAGCAAAAGGGACGAGCATTTGGCTAACATCCCGAATGCTAGGCATTACACGATGGACATGGTCAACAGATGCTCGGCTTCATCACTGTGCCATTGTTATGCAGTCGGGCAGGGTAGCAAGTCTTGTAGGATCACATCTTGTGTCGCTCCGGTGCTTCAGTTGCGCTGTGGATGAGGGCTGTCTTACCAAACTCGTACTTAATCATTTAGGGTTTGGGGTTTAGGTGAAGACCGGCAGATGAGGCAATGCTGGCAGTCATCAAGTCCGGTTTCAAAAAAAGGGTATAGGGTCATTTAGAGCGTGCCCAGGGATGATCGAGCTCTGCATGTCGCCCATCGTGCCGCGCTCGATGCTCTCTCCAACTTCCAGAGCCGAGGAGAGCGGCCGGCGTGTGCAGTGTGCATGCACCAAAACTCGGGCTTTCACCAAAAAAGGCTCCTAATTTTGAGGGTTTGGAGCGGTTTCGGATACTCACTGAAGTTAGTCCCCCTACTACCCGGGCACGTTAGCGGAGAGCTTTTCAAAAAAAGGTTGATCCCGCACAACGCAGGATCTGGTTGCGGAGCAGGAGATTGCTGCCGAGCCCATCAAGCAGGAGCAGGTGAATAGCCAACAAAAATGTCCAGAGCAGTAGTAGCTACAGTCATAGCATGACATATAATGGATAGAAGTCGTCTCCACAGCACTGCACTGCGATGGCAACAGCGCAAATCAAGGAAGTGAAAAGTGTGTTAGCATGAAGGCAGGTCAGGTAGTGGCGATGGAATGGGTGACAGATGTCGTCGTTGTCGTCGTAGAAGTTAGCAGTAGCAGTAGCAGTACTGTAGTAGTAGTAGTAGTAGTAGTAGTAGTAGTAAGTAGGTAGTAGGTAGTAGGTAGTAGGTAGTAGGTAGTAGGTAGTAGGTAGTAGGTAGTAGGTAGTAGGTAGTAGGTAGTAGGTAGTAGGAAGTGGGAAGTGGAAGTGGAAGTGGAAGTAGTAGTAGTAGTAGTAGTAGTAGCAGTAGCAGCAGCATCAGCAGCAGCAGCACTAGCGCTAGTACAGACGCAACAATTAGGTGCCGGCCCAGTACAGCTTTAGGCAACTCCGGCAAATCGGA